CAAGACTAAAAACACATTTGTTTAGGATTGCCTTCTACTATTTTAGTTAAACAGTTCAACTGGAACATATTTTCTTTAATCCAACATTTTTTAATATTCTTTTTTTGTTTCTGTATTTTTTATTTTATTTTATTTGTTTTTTATTTTTTCCTACTTGCTTTGATTCTGTTTTATCTTCCTGTATTTTAATCATGTAAAGCACTTTGCATTGTCTTTGTACTGAATTGTGCTATACAAATACCTTTGCCTTGCCTTGCCTTGCCTTGCAGGGCAGCCTAGCAGTGCTATCCCATTATACTGCTACAACACTTCCACTGATTATACAGAAGATAGAACATAGCAAATAAAAACTGTAATCATTTTAAAAGAAAACGGATTTATTCGATCGTTACGTCAATAAACACCAGCCAATCAAGATGTTAGAAACGTTTCTGCAAAAGTTAATGGTAAAAAAAAAAAAAAAAAAAAGCTGGTGTCTTATTGGTCACAGTGAGAGAGATCGCACCCAAACGCCACCGGACTCGACATTAACTCAAACTAAATAAATGACATCCAACACCAAACGGTCACCTCATCCATGACAGGTGGACTGCAGCGCGCGCTGTCCGGCGGCTGTTAAATGCATGCGCACAAGAAAATAGTCCCTGTGAGGATAAAAGGCACGCGCTGCAGCGGGGAGGGCGGCGCCTTGATCCCCTGCAAAGTTCACCCAGTAGGTAAGCAAAATTACAGGGAATTAAAACTTACAACAGCTTCTAACAGCCTTGATTTAAACTTGTTTTCTTTGTCATACATGCGTTATTATACATGGAAAACTTTTTTATATTTTCTATTCTGAAAATATACATTTAGAACAACAAATTAAAGACAACAAAGATAGTCTTACATATATTTATATATATATAGACTTTTATTACAGTAATGGGCTAATACACATTTTTATTGTTATTATTATTTAAATTATTGTTTTTTTTCTTTTGTAAATGTTAACATATCATCTTAGCAGGTTTCTTTATTAAATGAAAAACAAGGAAATTTTTAACAAATACCTTTTTTTAAAGCAAGTAAACTTTGTCATGATGGAGTAATGGCTGCTTGCTGTATTTTTAGTACAGTGACCTTTTGGAAACCTGTTCACACCACGTGCTCAATATGCTTTGATGAATTGATATTTAAATCTAAAAAGTTGATGTATTTCTTTTTGTGAAATATTAGTTTAATGAAATTTGTTTCCTGTCAAACTATATTTGTTTGATGATTTCAAACTGGGAAAATAGTGATATGTGACAGTTTGATGACCCTTATTAGCATTATAAATTAATTTGCTGTTTTTCAACTATTATTGCAGCCTAACTGCAGGAAAAACTGTTATTATTTGGCCTTTTGAAGTTTAGTTTAGTTTTGGACCTTTTTCTGTTGCACAGAAACAACTGTGAAGCAGGAGCATGCTGTATTTGTTTCTGCCCTTTGAACAAGCTATTTTCTAATTTCTTTCTTTTTCCACCTCTTTTTTCTAACTAGAGAGCCATATATAATGAGACACGAAGCGATTATCAGAATGCACGTTTTTAAAGACAGATTTTTAATGTTGTTAGTTTGTTTTGCTTTTCATATTGTTTGTTTGTAAACAATCCTCAGGCTGTCACACACTCCTTCCTCTGTCTCCGCAGGACGTTCCCTGCAGACACCGATCCAATCATGTCTAAGGCAAAAGACGCCGGCTCCAGCATCATGCAGACCCAGCAGCTGCAAGCCGCCATGGCCGACACCTTCATTGAGCACATGTGCCTGCTGGACATCGACTCTGAACCGGCCGTGTCTCGCAACACCGGCATCATCTGCACAATCGGTCAGACGCTTTGCCCCGATGCACAGATGCTCTGCTGATTCCTCTGTATAACATTAACCCAAATGTTCCCTATAGGACCTGCATCCCGAGCTGTGGAGACAGCCAAGGAAATGATCAAGGCTGGGATGAACATTGCAAGAATGAACTTCTCTCATGGGACACATGAAGTGAGTGATTTTTAAAGCTTTACGCTGATAAAACATCCTAAATGAGTCGCTCAACCGGCCTGGTGCAGCTACAGCCGCAGGTTGTCAGCCATGTGTTTCAGTGAATCAGGCTGACATTTCCACAGTCGGTAACATGATCCCCCAGCTTATAGTTGACCCCTCAGCACCCTGCCTGCATCTTAGGTTGAAAACTCTTTGGTTGGTCAGCGGCTGACCTTAACTTCCCGACCTCTTACCTTTAAAAGTCACGACCCCGATGACTGTCACCTGAGAGGAGATCCAGAATTATGTCTGGGGTCTTTAAAGGTTAACTGCAGCCCTTTTAGTAACGCCTAAAACTGCAGCTCAGCCTTGATGGATTAAATTCGAGAAAAAATACCAAATGTTCAGGTTAGTGAATAATCTTCCCTTTGGAAAATGAAAACCGACTTCTTGGTGTGGAGAGAAGGAGATAGATAGATAGCTGTGACCTCTGTCTCGTTGTTGTTGCAGTTGTCATTGCAGCTATAAATAGGAAACCTCACAGCGACAGCAGTAGAGGAGAGCATGTAGGAAAGGAAAACCGTAATCTGTGTTCGCTGTTTCAGGTCTAAGACTAATTTTTGCATGTTATACTTTAATATAGTTGTTGCAGTTTTGGTATTTTTTACAGCAGGAATTTGAATTGTTCACCTTTAAGGTCATTTTGTGTATTTAAAGCACAGCAGAGCTGAGGGTCCTGTGCTAAAAATATGTTGCAGCTTTGCTAACTGTATTTCATTTTGTAGCCGCCTCACAATATGAGCACCTGTTGCTTCGTTTGGCTGTTTGGGAATGGAGCATATTTGGAGACAAGCTTTTGTTTGCACAAATTAAACCTTAGTATTATTATTTTTTTTATTTTATTTAAATCCAGTAATTTTTACAGAGATTCTAAGGGTTGTGACATCTTTTTATGCCATAGTACCATGCAGAGACCATCAAGAATATCCGGGATGCGACTGAGAGCTTTGGGCCTGGATCTGTTGACTACAGGCCAGTGGCCATCGCTCTGGACACCAAGGGACCAGAAATTAGGACCGGTCTCATCAAGGGCGTGAGTTCTCTGCAGATAACAGGAGGCAGTGGTTTGATTTATGGAGGACTCATAACTGTAATGGCTTTTTTTTTTCTGTCTTCCTCAGAGTGGAACTGCTGAAGTGGAGCTGAAGAGGGGAGAAACCATCAAGGTCACTATCGACGATCAGTACAAGGAGAACTGTGATGAGAAAAATCTTTGGCTCGACTACAAAAACATCACCAAGGTGGTTGAGGTCGGGAGCCACGTCTACATAGACGACGGTCTGATTTCCCTCAAAGTTAAGGAAATCGGTAAGAACGAAATAACTAGCTGCTTTTTAAAATGTTTTAAAGACGTTTTAACCTCCAATTGTCCTTATATCATATTACGTAAAACCACAATCGTCATATTATTTCGGGGTGGATTTTGTGTCATAGACCAACGGTAACCAATTGAAAATCAGCAGGATCAGAATAAAGAAAATTATCAACCAGTTAAGATCCAGAGACATTTTTAATTAGAATCCAGTACTTTAAACAGAGTTTAACACTGAAATAAAATTAGGTGTTTATGCATCCAAATCTAAAGTGTTTGTTTAAGTAGAGAACAACAATCTTTCAGTTTGCTATAGAGACAATTTCCTGATTCCCATATTTTCTCAAACCCCTGAACTGATCGTTTGTTATTTTCTTTCTTTTTTCTGTC